GGCCCCCGGAAAAAACCCCCAGCCACAACAGCCCACTGCCATTGGGTTTGGAGCGGGGAATTGTCCTGGAGCGGGGAATGCCAGAGGAGCTGCACAACAGCGAAGCAGCCTGAGGGGAGGGGGGGGAGCCATATTCAGGGGAGCCTAAATAGCACCAAGTCTGCTGGAGACATGCCGATAGCCATTCCATGGATTTCATAAGGGGTCCTGAGCCCCTCCATGGCATTTTCCAGAAGTGCTTTCCAACGGCCACACTCTGCTTCCACGGCCAGGCGCCACCAAACACTGCTCAGTTTTGGCAAAAGCATCCTGCACAGCAGAGGTTCTGTGCTGTGCGCAGGAGGTCAGGCCCTCGTCTCACAGCCATCTGACTTTCTGCAGGGCTGGCGGGGCTGGGCGGCGTGCCGGGGGACACAGAGCCGGTCCCTGGGCTCCTGCTGGGCTGCTGAGCGGTTCTCGTGCCTCTGTCCTGCCACGAGATCTCTGCACCCACAGGAAAAGGGTGGAAATCCCCTCGGCAGCGCACGCATGCACGGAGCCTTTCCTGTGGAGGAACTCGCGAGAGCGAGGGGGAGGTCAGCGGCAGCGGCCAGACCGCAGGATGTGCCCAGCCGCTCCGGGCTGGGTATCGAGGGCAGCCAGCAGCCTGTCTCATGCTGCTGAGGGGCTGCTGTTCTGACCCGGGGCTTCTGGAAAGCAAAAAAGGAACAAAAGCATCCCGGGGCAGCAGTGACGGCGAGGTAGCCTGTGGTAGCAGGAGCCCTGTCCCGCGGATGGGCTCGGTCCCTCCCGCTCCCCCATCGCCTTCCAGTTCTCTGCTGACTGCCTGTAAAGCAGTGCTTGCCTCCAGCCCGGTCCCTTGCTCATGAACAAGTCTCGTAAAATCCTGACATCACATTTTTCTAGGGATTTTTTTCTAGGGATTACCACTCCCGTGTCCCAGATTTTAAAGGAAGAGCTCGTCCTCTGGCAAAGCCTTTCATCTCCCACTCGTACATTTAACGCAGTCAAAATAGGTGGTATTCAAGGATCTTATTATCTGCTGGCGGGGGAGAGGCTGGCCTCGTGCCCGTTCCTTGGGAAGAGATGCCAGCGCCGTGCCACCATCGCTAACCAGCCTCCGTCAGGAGCCT